TTTTATTTTTCCTTTTTTCTCCCCAAAGCCCCCCAGCACACAGTTGTATATATTTTAGTTGTGGGTCCTTCTAGTTGTGATACATGGGATGCCACCTCAGCATGGCCTGATGGGTGGTGCCATGTCCGCGCCCAGGATTCAAACCAGCGAAACCTTGGGCCACCAAAGCAGAGCACGTGAACTTAACTACTCGGCCATGGGGCCAGCCCCTAGAATGACATCTTTAAAGTATTGAAAGGAAAAAACTCCTTCAGAAAATAGAGGACACTTCCCAACTCATTTTCTGAAGCCAGCTCTACTCTGAGAGCAAAACCAGTCAAAGATACTATAAGAAAAGAAAACCACAAACCAATATCCCTCATGAAAATATATGTAACAAATCCTTAACAAAATAGTAGCAATTGAATCCAGCAATATATGAAAAGGATAATACCTTTTCCTGGGTATTATGCCAGGAATGAATGCAAGATTGCTTTAATAAAAATTTTTAAAAAACCAATATATTTGACCTTATTAGCAGAATAAAGGAGAAAATCATATTGTTTCAAAAACTACAGAAAAAAAGTGACAAAATTTAATACAACTGATAAAAACATTTAGCACCCTAGGAGTAGAAGAGACTTCCTTAACCTGATAAAGGATGTCTGAAAAACCCACAGAAAACATTATAGTTAATGAGGAAACACTACACACATTCCCTGTAAGGTTGGGAACAAGACTGAAGAAGCCAGCTCTCGCTTCCATTTAGCACTGTACTGAAGATCCTAGCAAGTGTGTTAGCTCAAAAAAGAGGTAAAAGCCATACAGATGGGAAAGAAAAAGTGTAATTGGCTTTACTCACAAATGACATGATTGTGTACATATAAAACCAAAAAGAATCTACAAAATAATGCTACCAGAAGTAAGTGAATTTAAGCAAGATCACCATAATCAAGTCAGTGTGTAAAAATATAAAAATTTCATTACATACAATGTACTTAATCATACATGGATTTATCCATGCAATGGAATACCATTCAGCATTAAAAAGAATGAACTCAAGACTCAACAACATGGCTGAATCTCAAAAACAATATCCTGAAGGAAAGATGCCAGACACAAAAGATTACATATTGTATAATTTCACTTATATGACATTCTAGAACAGGAAGAACTAATTTATAGAGACAGAAAACAGATTGGTAGTTTCCTTGGGCTAGAGGTTGGAAGATTGATTGCAAAGAGTCAGAAAGAAATTTTCTAGGGCGATAAAAATTGTTGTCTAGGGGCTGGTCTGGTCGTGTAGTGGTTAAGTTTGTGCACTCCACTTTGGCACCCTAGGGTTCACAGGTTTGGTCCTCAGTTGCAGACCTACACATCACTCATCAAGCCATGCTGTGGCGGCATCCCACATACAAAATAGAGAATGATTGGCACAGATGTTAGCTCAGTACAATCTTACTCAAGCAAAAAGAGGAAGATTGGCAACAGATGTTAGCTCAGGGCCAATCTTCTCACCAAAGATAGATAGATAGACAGATAGATAGATAGATAGATAGATAGATAGATAGATATAGTCTATCTTTTTAGTGGTGGTTACATTGGTGTATACATTTGTCAAAACTCATTGACCTGTGCACTTAAAATGGGTATATTTTATTGTTTATAAACTATACCTTAATAGAGCTTTTTTTTTAAGTCCACAATTGAAATGTAGGTATCACTGCTAAGCAAAAATAAAGGCAATGATTGGATGTGCTGATGACTAATTTATTTGAAGCATTTAGAGAGAGATGTTGACCTACATCCTGCCTTCAGCATCATTTTTATGCACTGTTAGGATGAAGTGCTGGAGACAGTGGCAAGACCACCAGGCAGGGAGGGTGAGGGACCAGAGGGAAGTAGAAAGAAAACTATGCCCATGTTTATTCCTCCATGATTAACTCATTGTTGCTCACGTGCCAGCCAGTGTGCTATGGAAAATTCTCTCTTTAGTCCCTCCAGCTGTCTCTGGTAAGCCCCTCCTTCTGGGAAGGGGGATCGTACAGCCTAGAACTCCAAACAAGACCCTCCCTCCCCTCCTCTTTGAGCGGAATAATTTGAATGTGATCTGACCATGTTCCCAGTTGAATAAATTGCGTATTACATGCAGTTGTGTTCTTCTGACATGTCCGTAGGCTTCTCAGAAACGATATATGGAGTCATTCATACAGCAAATGTGTGTCGGGCACCTACTGTGTGCCAGCAACTGTGCCTGTGGCTGGAAATAGAACAGACGTGCTCCCTGCCGTGCTCTCTGGCACTCTCTATCTAGCAGATGGTGGTTGAGAAATGACTGGATTGAATTAAAAAGACCAATTCTCATCCTGCTTCTGCCCTGCAGTTGCCGAGGGACTCTGACCAAGTCACTTAACCTCTCATGGCTTCCCTTTCCCAGCTTGCAAGCTTCAATTTTGAGGATTTTAAATATTCCAACAACACAATTTCCAGCTTGATAGACACTGTTGATATCCACTGCTAACTGGACCATAACCTTATTGGAGCTCGTCTGTGAAATTTGTGCAAAAGGGCTGGCTGCAGAGAGCTGTGCCACACAGCTCTTGGCACAGTGACATCATCTATCCATTCAAGAGCCCTTTTCTTAGACCGTGATGCTCATCTTTGGTGGCACATTAGAATCATCTGAGGAGTTTAAAAAATTCCCAGCGCCTAGGCTGCACCTCAGACCAATTAAATCAGACTCTTGGAAGTGGACCCAGGTGTCAGTCACTTTTAGACACCCTTAATCATCTCCTTATTTGTCCCTCACATACCCATTATCACCCATCGCCTTTCTGCCCCCCTAAAGGAAATAGCTCTGTGGTATTTGACGCATGGCATGGAATTTGTGTGTACCATTTGGTATCAGGTAGTGTCACTGTGTATATTTAACAACAACTGCAGACAGAGCAAGTAAGCGCATTAGCGCTGACCCCAGGGCATATCTGAGCCCATGGGTCTCCCCATATTTCTACCATCTAGGAAAGAATTTTGGATTCTCCATTGTCTGTTGTTAGCAACATTACTGCTTAATTCATGCATTCAAGACATTAAATGAAGGCCTGCTATGTGTCAGGCACTGTGTCCTGGAGATCTGTGGAGAGCTGAAATTTACCAGGTGGAGGGAATACCATATGCAAAGTCCCTGTGGCAGAAAGGATCTCGGTCAGTCAGAACTGAGAAGATGTTCATGTGACCTGAGCAGGGAATATGGCGGCATGCCAGTGCAAGGAGGCTGGGAAGTGGGAAAGGACCAGACCCCCCCGCACCTTGTGGGCAGAGCTGCCGCTGCAGAGAACATAGGAGGAAGTTGACCTCTGTGGACTGTCTCCAAACGTGGTGCCTTTCAGCCATATACTGACTGGCTGTTTTTAAGACCACAATAAAAAGACATCATTAGCCAAAGCAGTGAGAGAGCGTGATCATGAGTCATACAGAGGAGGTAACCCAAGAGTGGCACATTTTTATTTGGTTTCCTCCCAGACAAAACCGCAGGTCCCACCCCGAGGGTTATGCTCCCTGATAACAATAGCTGGTATGTACTGGGAGCCAGGTTTGTGCCAGGCACTATCGTAAGCCCTTTCTTGCCTCACTGACTCTCCGTTACCAGCCTATGGGATATGAGCTATGACTACCCCTTCTTATGGATAGACACAGAGAGATTAATAACTTGCCCACAGTCACCCAGCTATTAAGTGGTAAAACTAGGAATCGAACCCAGGCAGGGTCTCTCCGGATGGTCAGTTGATCATGGTGCCATGCTGTTGTTGGAATGTGGTGGTGATGGTGGCTCTGCTGGTGGCTTGTGTTGAAATGTTTTATCTTTATTCAGAGAAAATGGAAGCCATGGTGAGGTTTCAAGCGGGTGGTCACGTGGTCAGATGGCATTTCCCCCCAATTTGCACAGATAATGGACAGTTGACTGAGACATCACTCCTATGAGCTGATCTACAGTAGTTGTAGAAAAGACCACGAAACCAGAAAACAAAGGAAACAATAACAGCTAATTGGAATTTCAGGGGAACCTTAGGTATAATATAATAGGTATAACATAATTACTGTTTTGGAGGCTGATGGAATGAATTCACATGATGTGTGTGCTGTCAGAAAATTATCCTACCCCAGGGAAATAGTAAACACCTTCCCTTGCAAGTGTTTGACTAGATTCTTCTGAAGCCTTAATGCAAATTCGCATATCCTATACTCTCCGGGGTGAGAAACAAGAGTGCTCTGGAAACTATATGAAAAATTATATGGAAATTGTGGTCTTACACATGCAGGCAGCCTACGTATACTCCAAGGAAATTAGTAAATTGCCACACACCTTGGGCTCATCTGAAATCATTATTGTTGCCACCGTCAACATGAAGTACTGGGATTACACAATATTTGGTACATGGACCCATATAAACACGAGGGACACAGACTCTTTTTTAAGCGATATGCTGAAGTAGTCCATAGCCAAATGAACATTTGTTGAGTGCCTCTTCTATACCAAGCAGTATCTCATTTAATGTTCAGACTAGCCCTGCACGGGGAAGTGACTGCTCATCCTTGGAGATAAGATAATGGAGACCAAGAGAGTCGAAGTAATGTGCCAGTCTCACAGTAGCAGGGAGAGCGTTTAGGGTTTGATCCAAAGTCTGCTTGGCTTCAAAGCCGGTGCTGTTGGCTGCTCCCGATAAAAACGTGTCAGCGAGGGTTTATGCCCATTGTCCATGATGCTCTGACCAGAGTATAGAAAGGATCCAATTTTTTGCAGACACAGACATGAAAGTCTGGTTGTCAGCTGGCTGCTAAAACTCAGATGTTGGCTGAGTATGATATACAGTTTTTGCTCCCTTCCCTTTCTCATTGAAATGAAGAAATCCTCAGCTGCAGGGCCATTTATCCAAACCCACTGCTGAAGACTGCCAGGCGTGCGGTTGCCACGATGTCAGTCAGGCAGAGCCAGCTGAGGTTGATTTCTTCTGTTCCAACAGCTGCAAAACCAGGAGCTGCTGAGGGCGATGATGAAGAAGGCTGAGCTGGAAATCAGTGGCAAAGTGATAGAAACGATGAAGAGACTGGAGGATCCTGTGCAACGACAGCGCGTCCTGGTGGAGCAAGAGAGACAAAAATACCTGCGCGAAGAGGAGAAGATCGTCAAGAAGCTATGGTGAGTGCCGGTCACTTGCGGCATATTAGCTGTTTCACCTAAAAAGGTAGCCTGTCTTTGCCAATTAGGAGGCCCTTCCTCAGTGATGGCCCCCCACCCTTTATTGAGCACCCACTATGTACAAGTTCACGTTCTGCTGGTTCTGGGTATCCGCATACACTTAGCGCCCTTCCATCCAGGCCCAAAAAATTCAGCAATCCTCAGGTGCACCATGTTCTTCTGTAGGGCTCAGTAACATAAAATTAAAAGGAGCAAATGGCAAAATCTAGTGGTAAATGGGAAGTCTGCATTTAATCTCAATAAACTAAAACGAGTAGCCAAAATAATGCAGCACTAAAATTACCATCCTATTATTCAACTGTAGTTAAAATCACGAAAGAAGAATTTAAATACAAAGGATGTCCGATCCAGGATGAAAGATGCTTCCTTGAATGTTACTAATCTTATATGAGGTTCTTATGGAAAGCATCTATCAAGTCCCACTATTGAAGTGAGCAGGGTTTTATTACTTCCCAGCCCGTGGGGCAGGCAATCTTTTATGTTAATGTATGTTTTTTTATGCAACGAAGGTTTATCATAGAACTATTTCACCTTTCAGTATAATGAATGCTAATTTTTGTGGGTTCTTCTAGTGTTGGTATTTCTCTTGTTTCTTGGAAAGCTCAAAGCTTCCAAACTGGGATTGTAAGGGACCAACCTTCAAATTCTTCTCATGACCAGAATCACCAGAAATTTCCATGATGGAAAGTGTTGTTTTCTATCACCTATTTGATTTTGAGCTGTAGTTTATGTCACTTCAGATGCCAACCTAATGTGTCTGATTAAAATTAGAATGTGCCTTTCAGTAGCAGTCTAGAGGAAAAAATATATTTATTATTTTCCTAAAAAATTACATTTGACCACTGTTCACTGACATCTCAAAATAGCTTCTAAAATTTTGTTTAGTTCATGGATTTATAGACAGCTAATCACCCACCATGAGGTAATAAGGCTATTATTTGTCTGAAATGTTTTTGTGACAGCCCGAGTTGTCTAAAACTAGGTCTGAAGATTCTTCTTGAAAACTTCTTTAAAAATAGATAGCCTTTTAATAATATTTTTATAAATTTTCCAATTAAATTATGAAAAAGTACATTTCCTTCCTTTAAAAGTTGTGACTATTGGTTAGCTGAGGAGCCAGGTGATCCGACACAAAGGAGAGTTTGCTTCTGGCCCCAGGGATCTGGAAAACAACCTGAAATAAGTTCTTCTTCATATGCCCCCAGGCCAAGCACAGTGCCATGCGCACAGTAGGGTCTCACAAATGGTTTGTTAAACTGAACTGAAATGGCCTCGAAGACAGGTGGGATTTCATCGGTGGAGGCTAGAGTGGGGGATGTCCCAGGCAGAGGAACAAGTCTCAGGACCCAGAAGCCACAGGACATCCGTGGAGAACTGGGGGTAGTTGAGTTTGGCGGGAGAGTTGTGTACAAGATACTAATCCTGTCTCGTATTTGGGTCTCACCATTTCCGTTTGCGTCGTCCCTGCCCATATCTTAGACCATACTCGCATCCTCCATGCCTGCTTGCTATCTGTCTGGCCTGTGTTAACTGAAATGGCAAGATCATGCAACAGAAATCTGGATTTCTGGCTTTTCATGAAAGTTCCTGGGTCCAGCCCCAGATTCAGAATTTCTCTGGAGGGAGCTTGGGAATGTGCATTTTGCAAAGGGACAGGGGAGATTCTGAAGCACCTTCCCCTTTGTGAGTCACTGCCCGTCCTCATGAGGAGGTCACTGAAGTTTTTGGATCAAGGAATTAGAGGAGTCAGAGCTGTGTTTCAGGTTGGTCCCTCCAGCGATCCCGTGAGGGACTGATTGAGGGGGCAAGATTGGCGTCAGGGAAACCGTATTGGAAAGAACTATCATGGTCCAGACAAAAGCCAGTAAGGCCTGACTCAAGCAGTGGAAATTGGAATGGGGAAAGAAATCAAATGCAAAATGGACTGATCGGATGGATCAGAGTGGTGAGAAAGAGCCCAGTGGTGTAGTGGTTAAGTTCGCACGCTTTGCTTTGGCGGCCTGGGGTTCGCCAGTTCAGATCCCAGGCGCAGGCTTACACACCACTCATCAAGCCATGCTTTTGGCGGCATCCCACACACAAAATAGAGGAAGATCGGCAGAGGTGTTGGCTCAGTGACAATCTTCCTCAAGCAGAAAGAGGAAGATTGGCAACAGATGTTAGCTCAGGGCCAACTGTCTTCACCCAAAAAAAAGAAAAAAAAAGAGTGGGTTACCAAAGACAGCGGGGAAATTTCAACTCAGGTACATTAGGAAAACAATGCTATCTCCCTTCCTCCTCCCATTTGGCCTCCCCCTGCCCTTCCTCCTCTCTTGGTCCTCCCCATTCTCCTCGCCCTGCCTCTCTCCTTCCATACACACACACTGGAAATTAAGTTCCCTTGGGGATCCTGATAAGTTGCTGGTGAGCCATTCAGATGGCAGAGGAATGAAATTTGGGTCTAGAACTATGGAAAGAAATTGGACGAAGATAATTTCTCTTTGGTGGGTTTCTACATGGAAATGATAGTTGGGCTTCTTATAACAGTCAGATGAGCTAGATTTCAACAAATTAATGCTTTCTTTTTAACTAAGGTAGAATGAAAAACAACTTCAACAAATAGAGTGGATTTACCTGTAAACCATAGCATCTGTGAACATCTGACATTTTTTTGAGCAGAGTTCACATCTCAAAAGTCATATTGATTACTATAATATTGAAAATTTATTCTTAGTAGTCATTTTAGTTCCATGGTCTCTTTTACATCTTGAATGAACCAATTTTATCTGAATGCTTCATCTATAATAGATATCATAAACATATAAATAGAAGTGACATTGTTGTGTACAATAATATCAGTACACATTTGTGTACGTTCCACAATCAATAAAGGAAAAGCTGTGACATTTAAGGGTTTCCTGTATGCAGGGTTATGAAATCCAGGAGGCACACTGTGTAGAAGAGATTAAAATAGAATTTTAGGCAGACTGACTTTGGGTCAGATGACAGCTCCTTGCAGTGTTAATTGCAACCTGGCAGGCTTGTGGGTTGTTAATGGAACCATGATAAATTTGGGTCTTAGCTTTTCCATCAAAGCTTAGGAGGATTGGACAATGTGTCCAGTCTACACATTAAAGGAATTCTGTTCGGTGATGAAATGGAAGAGAACTTTTCCATACAGAGTTACTATACTTAGTGCTCTTCAGAGGGATGGCACACATTCTCTCGCCTCAGGGATGTGCCAGCTGTAGGAAGTTTCCTGTGGGCAGGGTCACATAACACCGGGTGCCCTTCTGTAGTTTGCAGATGTGGACAGTGAGCAGATGAGGCTTTCCCTTTTGGTCCTGAAGCTGCATCATTTCATCTGAAGGGGTCATAGGCAATTTTGGTCCATTTTCCGTAACAGGATGAAAGATAGCACCAAAAACTCCATCCCACTTCGTGAAGGTGGATGAATTTGTTGTTCACCTCGTGGTCTTTATTGAACATGTGCAATGTCCTGCCTGAATCTCCTGCAGCTGCCATGCCATCCATAGCTCCATCTGCTTGCCCACCTAGTAGGAGGGTCTTGGTGGGCCGTCTTTTTGCAGAGACGCTGTGCCTCCTTTCCTCTTCCCACTGCCTGCTCTGCACACACAGCTCCCGCAGGTGGACTAGCTGGTCACTTACTGCCACCTACTGGTCTTCATCTCTCAAAGTTCTTTCCCTGTTTCTTTAAGACAGGTTTTCTGTTGTCTGATTTGCGGGCAAACTGAGAAGATATAAACGTGTGTTTAGGATGGGGTTATTAACATGCCCAGGAGATAGGATGTTGTTGTTGGTTGGTTTATTTGGTTGGTTTTTTGAAGTGAAAGATCTTAATTTAGTTCTATTGGGACTGGCAGTACCCTAAGAGATGTGTGTATGTGTGTGTGTGTGAGAGAGAATACCACACACACACATACCCGAGAAATCAGATCTGTGATCATTTTGCTCTTTGTAGCTTAGAGAGGAAAGTCAATCCTTATTGCTGGGACAATCACTGTAAACCAGAGGTTCTTGGTCAGGGGCAGGTTTGCTCCCCTCCTCTCCCCCAGGGACATTTACCAATGTCTGGAGACATTCTTGTTTGTCACAAGCTGGCGACTGGCATCTAGTGCGTGGAGAGCAAAGGTTCTGCTAAACACCGTACAATACACAGGACAGGCCCCTACGAGAAAGAATTGTCCAGCCCAGAACGTCAAGTTCCAAGGTTGAGAAGCCTGATATAAAGCAGTCCAGGCTCCTCGTTCTACTCCACTACAGCACGCACGCTCTTTCTCTTTCTCCTCTGTCGTGTCACAAAGTGCGTGCGCCCCTCCCTTAGTTGGCATCCGCACCACTGAAAATGCAGCGTGGGTCCTTTGTCAGCCCGCCACTGTCTTCCCTCTGGCCAACCTGGGCCTCCCCATGAACAGGCCCTGGGAAAACTTCCTCGCCCTTGCCTTACACCTCCAAATATTTCAAGCCAAACCAAGCTACTGTTCTAGGATGTGCTCCTGTCATCTGAGTAGAAGGCAAGGGGGGCAGGGGCTGGGACACAGTACGCAGCGGGAGGCCGGCAAGCCCTTTGCTACAACAGCCATCCTTTTTGAGGACCTCAGTGTTCACTCCCATCCACTGGTCTGCTCGCTCCCGCAGTGAGCTGGAAGACTTCGTTGAAGATTTGAAGAAGGACTCCGCATCGGCTGGCCGAGTGGTTACTCTAAAAGACGTGGAAGATGGGGCTTTTCTCCTGCGACAAGTGGGAGAAGCTGTCGCTACCCTGAAAGGTGAGTGTCCTGCTCGAAGGGAGAAGTGTTTCCTGGGGTGTTGAAAAATCTGTTAAATAGTGAAGGATTTATTCGCACATGCCTGCATGTATTCATCAAACACGTGCATGTGTCAGGCACCCTTCTAGACACTGGGGATACACCACTGAACAGAACAGGCAGACGCCCTTGTCTTCTTGCATATGTTGCGGTGAGTGCTGTAAGATTTGGGACCAAATGATGCCAGTAACAGTTTCTGTTCTCTGGGCTCTTATTTGAGCCTGTGCCAAATTCATTAAAAAGAACCCTAAGGGACGGTTGACCTTATGCCAAAGACGCAGGCAGGAAGTAAGGCCTAGAGCTCTGCCCTTGCCCAAGGTCACTTTGAACCCAGTTGCCTCTGAACTTGTCTGCCTCGTGATCACGCGTGAACCGCACTGTGGCTGCTGAAGCCCACACTTCTCAACCCTCTCCACGGCTGGGATGCAGGATGGGGGCTTGCTCTTCTGGCTTTTTCTCCCACAACTCACCAGCTGCTCTCGGCCCACAGGAGAATTTCCAACCTTACAAAACAAGATGCGGGCCATCCTGCGCATAGAAGTGGAGGCCGTGCGGTTTCTGAAGGAAGAGCCACACCGGCTGGACAGTCTCCTGCAGAGAGTGCGGGGCATGACCGACACCCTGACCATGCTGCGGAGGTGAGCGGCTTCCCGAGGGGCACGAGGGGTGGGAGCACGTGCTGGCCAGGTTTGGGGCCAGGTTGTGGACTCTCAGGCTTCCTCCGTGCTCCTGGGACCTGTCTCCATTGTTGCGACGAGTCATGTCTTATTTCCAGTGTTCTGAGGAGAAACCATTTCTCCTTCCCACCTGGGACATTCTACTGCAATATGGCTTGAGGTCTTCATTCTTCAGCACAGGCTTGCTGTGCTGGGCACATCCTAGGGCTTAAAATAAGTAAACACAGTAAACATTTTTTAAAAAAAATCATTTGAAGGAGATTCTTTTTAATAACATTTTGAAGTTGAAGAATGGATCAGAATATTTTATTAGCCTCTTTCACTTCAGGGGCATAGAGGACTTCGTTAGAAGAGAATGAATAGAGGGGCTGGCCCACTGGCATAGCAGTTAAGTTCGCACGCTCTGCTTCAGCAGCCCAGGGTTCACCGGTTCAGATCCTGAGCACAGACCTACACACAGCTCATCAAGCTGTGCTGTGGTGGCATCCCACATAAAAGAACTAGAAGGACTTACAGCTAGGATCTACAACTATGTACTGGGACTTTGGGGAGAAAAAAAAGAGGAAGATTGGCAACAGATGTTAGCTCAGGGTCGATCTTCCTCACCAAAAAGCATACCATGAAAAAAAAAAAAAGAAGAACAAAATGAGTAGAAATAAAGTCTTTCTTGAATTATCTACTTAAAGAGTATCTGAGAGGTTGTTGGTCCCATGTAGAAAAGAGAAATGAACCCGCCGGAGTGGCATAGGCCAATCACTCTTACCAAAGACGCACCTGCTAGTAAAAGAGGGTCACAGTGGAGGAAAAACTAAAAGAAATCTCTGACTCATCCATGACTGTCATCAGAAAGAAAATTCCAGAACTCCATACCCACATAAAAAGTGCTGACATACACACATGCAGGATTTGTGTTGCCAGAAGCACCTCTGTACATGACATCTCATACCATCATATATTGTGTCTTCAGGGGACAATTAGAGCTCTTTCTTCTCAACATAATCATAACAAGAGTTTACATCTATGAGCACTGTCTATGTATCAGGCGCTGAATGAAGCCATTTTATATTTTTTAGCTCATCTGGTCCTAATTAAAAACCCTAGAGGGTAAGCATCGTTACTTCCATTTTATAGGTAGAACCTGAGGTTTGAGGAGGTTTTCTGCAGGTCAGAGAAGGGGCTGGAATGTGAACCGAAAGTCTGACTCCTGAGCTGCTGTGGTTTGGATCTCACAGCCAGGCAGGCAGTAACGTTTGGGCATTCGCTCTCTTCCAGCCCTGGTGTTGGTTGTTAAGATTACAATAGTAAATATGACAAATAGGACCCTTGCCCTTTTAAAACTTCCCCTCTCACATGAGAAATAGACACAACTACCCCAAATAAACTACTTCCTGGCAGTGGCAGTCCCTGAGCATTCAGTGTTTTACTAGAACTAGGCAATTGCAGAGATGTTATCCTTAAAATCTTGGGCCAGATTTGAGAACAAGTCACAGACAGAAGCAACATATAGGAAACTTTCTTATTTTAATCCCTAACTAGAATCATTTGGTCAAATTTGTAAGAGAAATATATTAAATGTGCAGTTGACTTTTAGATGCATTATTAACCATAAGGAGCAAGTGAAATTCTCCTAGTAAGGAATGACCTCGAGAAAGAGCCTCTTTTGCTAGGATGACACTACAAAGCAGCCGTATAATCACTTGCGACAGTTCCAGGATGCCAAAGGAAGTCTGAATTAACCCAACAATGGCCTCCTCCTGCAGAGATCACATCTGACTGGATACAGGAAAAAATTGTACCTGAATTACATTTTCTCATGGGTTCACTCATTTTAAATAGGCGGAGTGAACTTTTTCTTCCAGCAGGATAGAAACCTGTTAAAAGAATTCTTCGTTAAGCTCCTACCTAAACAAAGTAACCCAGCCACAGAGCCTAAAACACACCACCCTTCTCAAGTGGAAACAGATAGCGGGCCGGCAGGGAGTACTGCCCCATTCCCGCCTCTTCCCTAGAAAACAGCGGAAAGACATTCTTAGAGCCAGCACAGAGTGATGAAGCTCAGTATTTGTCTTATCTCCAGGGAATGCAAGTTCTAAAAACAAGATGGGATTGTGTGTTTTCATTGTTAGAGGTCTTTTTGTCCCATAAATGTTCAGTGGTGAGAATGATAGATAAACCCAGTTAAGTAACTTTGAAAATAAAAATAAAGGAAATTTTAGCTGCCATCAGGCTGCCCATCACAAGCCTTTATATTATTAATTTTTTCTGGGTATCTTTTGGGTATAATGTGCTGAACTCGGCACTGTGGAAGCATAAGGAGAAAGGTAGGAATATGCACACCCCCAAGGACAGGTATAATTTTTTTCCTGTACCCAATCAGATGTGGTCTTTGCAGGACTGTCCTGCCATGGCGAGAAGATAAAGCAGGTGACAGTCAGAGTTCAGAGCAACTTAGCAGCTTGGGGAGATGCTGAAGTGGTTTGGTAGCTGTTGAATTTGAGTTGCTGGAAGGATATCCAAATAGAGAAACTCAATGGGCACTTAGAAATGTGGACTGAAGATCAAGAGGGATTTAGAGTGGGGTCCCTGCCTAGCTTGGAGGGAGGTCAGGAGGGAGGGAGAAAGATTTAGAACTGGAAGTCGCCTTCATGAAGATGATTATTGAAGATGGAAGAGATGGCATGATAGAATGAGGGGGGAGGAGGGAACAGAGCCTTGGCATCCTTGGGGATTGAAGGGACAGGTGGGTAAAGTAAGCAGCAAAAGAAACAGAGAAGCGAGTAGCAGAGGAGAGTCATAGAATGCAATGTCTTTTTGCAATCAAAAAGAAAAAAGAGAGCATTTTAATAAGAAGGGAATGAGGGACTAATTAAAAATTATGCGTCAGGTACCATCTTTGACATTGTCTTACATATAACCACATTGATCCTAACAACAGCCCCTCAGCACGGCATTGGAAGGCATTGTCATCATCACTGTCATCATTATCACATTCTACAGAAAAGTATCTGAGGCTCAAAAAGGTGAAGTTCCTGGCATTCCACAGCTAGAACATAGTAGAACTGATATTCAGACACAAACACCAAAGGCTATGTCTTTTCCACTGCGCCATGGGTGGAGATCAACAAATAGCATCAAATGACCCCATAACGCAGAGGAGGATGAGGATCAGCCCAGCTGTTAGATTAGGAGTCACTGTTGACCTTGCAGAACGGCTCGGTCGAGTCCAGGTGGGGAAGCCAGATCACACCAGGCTAAGCTACAGGAAGAGCAAGCAGAAGCAACTAGAATATAAACTACCCTCCCAGGGTGTTTGGCAATGAGAGAGGCAGAGTGTGGACTGTTTAGGAAGCTTTTGGGGTTAGAGCTGAGCATCTCAAGAGCTGTCCAGGCCAGGCTCAGGTAGAGCAAGTATTGTTAGACTCGTGTGTTCAATCATGCCACCACCACCCAAACAGTGACGGAACCTCGCCAGTCTGGGCACAACCGTGCTAGTGGAAAGGGAAGACAGCCTATCTCCTGAGGGAAGGACTGAGTCAGCAGCTGCCAGAGATAACTAGGAGGCAATTCAAGGCCTTTAGGAAGTTGCTATGGAAACCCTCAACCCTGAGCTTCTATTTTGGGTTTTAGAATGTTTTAATTTTGCAACAAAATCTTGCCTGGCTTTGGGATGACACAGCATCCAAGTATACCATAATAATAAAATGAAAGTTACCTATTTTAAAAGTTAATGCTGCTGTGCATGGTTTCTCCCAGACACGTCACCGATGGGCTCTTGAAAGGTACAGATGCAGCCCAGGCTGCACAGTATGTCGCTATGGAAAAGGCCACCGCCGCAGAAGTCCTGAAGAACCAAGAGGAGGCACTCCACACCTCAGGCCAGCCCCTCCACGGCGCAGGAGTCCCAGGCGACATGAAGTCAGAGGTGATGCCCTTGACAGTTCACCATGCACAGAGCTCTCCCGTGGTCATCCAGACCTGCCAGCTCTCCTCGGCCCTGCTGAACCCTGCCCAGCACTTGCCTGGGGGCACTGGCCCTTACCTGGCCAGCTCTCCAGCTGTCACACAGGAGGGGACCTCTGCTCTGCAGTCGGCACAGGCTCCTCAGTCCCCACAGACGCCCGTGAATGGTTCCACCATGCAGAGCTTGTTCATTGAGGAAATCCACAGTGTGAGCGCCAAGAACAGGGCGGTGTCTATTGAGGTAGAGTCCTATTTCCATTTTTTGTAAACCCATAAAGGAGTGTAACTCATGATCCTTTCCCTCAAAGAGATTACAGTCTGGTTGTAGAGATAATTCATGTAAGTGTCAAAGATACAGTGTTACCAAAGATAGATAGACAGATAATGTCTTTTTTTAAACTACAAATGGGTTTCAATAGCCAGATGAAGAGAAAGGTCATCAGATTTCAGAGAAGGGCGAGACACCTAACCTTTAGGAAGGTGAGACAGTGGTGTGCTGGTAAGAGTTTAACCACTGGCTCTCTGGTGGGAAAAGCCCTAATTTGTAGCATTTGCCAATTTCCATGGAAGATTCCCACTGCGGCCGATTTTGAGTTACAACGTGACGTCATTAAACGTGCACTGGAAGAAATGTGACAATCAGCTCTTCTGAGTCCGTGCGCATTGGCTCAAGCACACCACTGGTGAATGCAGGCCTGGGGAGGATTTGCCACCAATCTTGAAAAATAAGTAGAATCTGGGTCAGCAGAGAAGAGAGGTGAGGGCATTCTGGGGTAGAGGAATGCTGGAGCAAAGGCTGGGACCATGAGGAACCTGTGTAACTGGAACAAGAGAGAGGAGATAAGGCTGGCAAAATAAGCTGGCACCTGATTTGGGAGAGCTTGAAAGCCAGTCCAAGAAGTCTAAAGTTTATTGTGTAGGCATCTGAGAGATGCTGCAGCTTGGACCAGTGAGTAAAAATGGCATCTTCAGGAAATTAATCTGGAAACAAGATAGTACAGAATTGATTCAAGTGGTAGGTCTAGATTTAAGGGAGCTGCATGGGAAGTTCTCACGGTAATCTCAGTGTGAAAGGAGGAGGCAGTCAAAATGGAAAGAGAAAGCGAGGTTTTGAGGTCACGACATAGAGAGAAAACACGCTGTTTTTAAATATCTGTTTAATCAAGAGCTGGTATCAATGCTCAGATAATACATTTGCTCCCCTAGCCCTCTCCTTGCTCCGACCCCACGGCACCCCATCCCCAGCAACCTGGTCCTAACCATGCCTGCCTCTCTTGCAAGTCAGCAGTGGATAACTGAGGTGTCAACAGGAGATGACCTCTTAAAACTGCTAAGGCCACAGTCACAGCTACTGCGTCTCTGAACACTAGGTAGCTTCTCTCTGTTCCAGAGTCAGTGCTGTGCCCCCAATCCAAGTCAGCTATTTACAAAATGCATATCACAGGAGGGTGTGGAAATGTGATTGACAGATGATGATTCTATTATATCATGCTTAGTGGGGTAGGGGAGAAAACTGAAATTACATTTCCTCGGATAATTAGTCCTCTGCCACTTTAACCATCTCCATATTTAAAGGATGTCAGTAGGATGACTCTTTAATTAACAAATATCTATTGAGAACCCACTGGGCATAGTTATCATTTTTGTGTGTGTTTTAAGTTTTAACGGGGGACTTATGAGTCATCTCTGAAGATGACCTGATCCACACTACGAAGGCCCGGGCCTTCCTGCCGCCTCCGCCACTGACAAATGGGGTGAGCTTCACTCACTCAACAAATATCACTGAGCCCCACTCTGCCCAGGCCCTCAGAGGCTCAGAGGTTGGCAGTGAACAGAAGAGGCAAAGTCTGTGCCTTCGAGAAACTTAGCCACCTGTAGGGACAGACAGAGAACAAGTGTATGTCAGGTGATAATAAACGCTAGGAAGAACAAATAAAGGAGAGTAAGGATGATAACACCAGTGGTTAAGATTCGGTGCTCTCACCTCCGTGGCCCCGGTTCCTTTCCTGGTCAGGGAACCACAGGATGCTGAAAGCTCTGCCACCAGTATTCAAATACCAGCAGGGTCACCCAGGGTGGACAGGTTTCTGTGGAGCTTCCAGACTAAGACAGACTAGGAAGAAGGACCTGGCCACCCACTTCCAAAGAAATTGGCCACAAAAACCCTGTGAACAGCAGCAGAGCATGTCTAATAGAGCGCCGGAAGGTGAGAGGATGGAGCAGAAAGACCAGGCAGGGTTCTGCCCTGCTGCAGAGTCAGAATCCACTCCACGCACTAAAAATAAAAGGATGGTGACAGTGGTGGCTCTTATTCATAGAGAGTGAATCTTGGGCAAATCCTTCATCTCACCGGGCCCCAGTGTTCTCGTGTGTAAAATGTCTTGATTCTGTGGTCTCCTGGGTCTTTTCCAGTTCTTATATTATGTTCTTACCTTCTGGGGTTCCACCAACCCTGGTGCTAATTTCCACCCCACCCTCCTGGAATGATTCCTGTGCCATCGCAAAATCACAGGAAAATGTTCTCTTAAAAAATGTACAGGTATTTAAAAATACCTTTTGTGTATTTCTCCCTATTGTAAAACTTAATGGAGCTTAGAGGTCATCTAAATAACCCTCCATTTTATAAGTAAGAAAATTTGACCCGGAGGCCATATGGCGATTCTTTGACGAAAGTGGAACTAAGACCTAGGATTCTTTGTTCCTAGTGAGTGTTTGGGGTTCTGTTTCTGTTTGTTTGAATATCTCCTCCACATTGAAAACTCAGTTTAGAAAACAAAAACTTGGTTATGGTTTTGTTTGCTTTGAAATCATTTCTCTGTGTCCCTTTTTGTTAGTATTGGTAGAAGTATGGAGTAAGTGCTCAGTAACAATTTAATGAATGAATTTGGGTTTCTGAGCCTGCTTCTCTGTGAATGAATTCACTTGGGCTTAAATGGCAGCCCCTTTAGCTATAGAAGATGGAGCAGACAGCACAAGGGTCAGATTCTTCTGATGTGCAGTGGTGTCCTTTGGCATGGAAACCGGAGCATCATTTTACCAAGACTTTAAGTATGTTCTACCTCCTCTCACCCCAACATGAAATCTCTAAACTCTGAATTACCTTTTCCTTCTGGTTTTTAAATTTTCTTCACTTACGATTGTCCTTCAGAAAGCAGAAAGGAAATGGGAAGAGAAAAGGCAAAATCTGGACCACTATAATGGGAAAGAGTTTGAGAAGCTCCTGGAAGAAGCTCAGGCCAATATCATGAAGTCAATTCCAAACCTGGAGATGCCACCAGCCTCAGGCCCACAGCCAAAGGGCGATGCTCCAGTGGATAAGCTCGGTCTTTCAGGTAAGGCACTAACAGAGCTGTGCGGGCTGGCTGCCCTCAGATCAGTGTGGGGCCACCCGCCTGGGCACGTGCTGGCCAGCAGGACCAATCTCTCAGTTCTTAAGAGTCTTGGAAAATTTTAAAATTCGAAGAACAAATCCTCAGGTGCCCCTAGATTCTCACTATTTTTAACTATGACCATAGCAGGGAGACTGTGTTCTGCGTTCGGGTATAGCACAATGCCCAATAAGGTAACATTTAGATTCCCAGCTTCCGCATTCCTCTGACTTTATGACACTTCACACTCCCAGCTGGGAGAATAAGAGGCCTGCATTTAAAGTAAGAGCTTTTCATATGCTGCAGAAAGAAAATGCTCGCTTTCATGAGCTCCCAGGGGGATATTAGATCATAAGGTGAAACCACATTTTGTTAAAATTGAAATTATTAGACTGTATATTTAACCAACTAAACTATGGGATCTAAGCATGAGTGTGTCAATAATAACATAAAATAACTGTCAGAAAACTCAGTCTACTAAATTGCCAGCCAATTACAAGCCAGGTCCCTTATTCTGATCTTAAAATAATGTCCAAAGACATTATTTTTCTTGCAGCCTAATGTCTCTCAGAGCCACATTCAGTGATGCCTCGTCCAGTAACTAAAATTAATTTGAAAAGGAATCGCCGTCTTGACTGGCATGTCAAGGCACATGAACATGGGTCATTTAACCACTGTAACATTCTCCTCCCAGGTTTTCATTCCCCAAAGCCGTTCTAAAACTCCACTCACTGAAACCCTCTCTCTCAATCTGCTAAATTTTTCACCTCCTTCCCCACCTGCCAGCTCTGTGAGGCCTGTCTAGAGCCCCTGGAGGGTCAAGCAGCAAGTGCCCAGAGAGGGAAGGGCCCTCGGAGAGGCAGCTCTGCTCTCACAAAGATAGCTTTTCTCCCAAAGTTCCCATGGAGAATTTCTGACGGATAAAATTATCTACCTCATTACGTTTCTATCTGGCCTAATTTGGCTCTCCCCGTTATTAATTTTATCATAAAGCCCTTGGATGTTTTATAATTATGACTAAATTATAAATAAATTATAATTGTTCCTTCTCATGATTATACAACAAAACTAATGTTACATTTTGTTAACTTACCTCATTTGGGCCTTTTCTTCTTTCAGATTACAAAAATTTTGCATAAATTATTTGTTAAATTACTCCCCAAAGCATTTTTAATCCGTTAAAATGTTCTTATTGTTGTTTTTTTGTTTAACACATGGCCTAATTTCTTGTCAGAAAGAGTCCACTGATGTATAGGCCACCATAAATATGTAAGAGTATCATCCATTATCTGTAAACATTGGTTTCTATTATTTTTATTTATTTGTCGTGGATTGTTATTGTTTTTAATTTATTTTTGTTTACTAACAAGGTAAAATTGTAAGCTTGGGTTTTAAAAACTATATGTACTTCCTCTTGTGTGAGTTGTCTGAATACTTAGGTAATGGGGAAAGATGGAAAAATCCAAGAATCCTCCCAAAAATCAATGGAAAATTTGGAGGATTTTGGCCTCAGTAAATGTTAAAGAAATTATTCACCAGGAGCAAGAAGACTTTTTATAAGACTATTGCAGTGGGGGAGAGAAACTGGACTCAGCTCTGAATACAGCATATCCAGGGCAGGGGGACTCTTGCAAAAGGCAGGCCAAGGACTTAGCTATGAAGGGTGGGGAATGAAAAGCTTATCAGATATCAAGAATGGGGGCATTCTTGCTAACTGACCTAGCAGGATTCTTTACTGAAACTGGGCTGAGCAGACCAAGGTCAGGGCCTAGTGTACGAGAGGGCTCAAATGAGCCTGACTAGTTGGTCAAAGCGGGAGTCTTTGTCATTACACAGGAGAGGAGACCCGGGCCCACTTCCATGCTGGTCAGCCCATGCCAGTCCCTGGAGGGACCCAAAGCTCAGGCAGCCATCCCGAGGCTGGGCTGCCGGAGTGGGAACCGGCCACATGGCACGATGCTGCCGGGGCCCTGTAACCCGGCGCCCTGATGCATGAGACAGAAACCGTCCGCTACAAATAATCCCTGGCATTTCACCCTGGTGATTTACCCACGTCTTCGTTCCATCTTTAAGAGGAAACTCCTCAAGCCTTTCCTCTAAACAACTCTGTCTAGGTTGCTCAGAAAAGACAAACACAGTCCCAGGAGGCCGGGCCATGTCCCTAGAGAGAGTTGGGACATAGCCCACCTGGAGGGCTGATCTTGCATTTCTGGTTCTCCCGCTTTTGTGAGCTGTTGGGCAGAGTGCTGGTAAGGGGCAGAAGTGCGGCTGTTTGTTGAGTTTTTGTTAAGAAATGCCTTTTCTGGGGAAAGCTGAGCAGATATCTGCATTTCCTAACTTTTGATGTCAGTACTAATTTCTAATTCTTTCATTTCTGCATTTGCTGCCTCCTTCCGTTAGCAGAGAACATTTCCAACCACATAGCTGTGACCCAAATCCACTTTCTCCCTGACTTTGTTCTCTGCTCCCATCTGCCTCCCACTTTCCCCTGGCCCTTCCCTGGCCAGACACACCAATCACTCCTGCCAATGCCGCGTGCCTTTCAGACTCAGGGACAAAGGCATGGAGGCGATGCAGGGGGTCTGAATTTGCCTTTGGGCACTGAACTTTCATCTCTCCGAGTAATACTCAGCTTTTTTGTGTAAAAACAATGGCTGATACTCGCTTAGCATTTACAGTCAGCCAACAAGCACTGTTCTTTGCATATGAAGTCATTTAGTCCTCATAGCACCCCAGTGGACAGGATATTATTGTAATACCCATTGAAAAGATGAGGAAACTGAGGCAGAGAGAGGTTAATTAACTTGTGCAGGGTCTTTCTGGGATTTCAAGCCAGTTGGGCTTCAGGGTGTATGCCATTAATCGTTGCACTATGGAGAGCAGAGAGAAATTTTTAAGTCAGATTGCATCGAGTTTATAGAAATACACTGTTCTGGATGTTCTCTTGCAAAGAGATTATTTTGCAATGACATACTGTTTTCCAGAAGACTCTTCAAATTCAGAACAGGACTTGGACAAGCAGGGGGGTAAGTCCCCACCTCCTCCTCCCCCACCCCCACGGCGGAGCTACCTGCCAGGATCGGGGCTCACCACCACCAGGTCCGGCGATGTGGTCTACACCAGCAGGAAGGAGAACATCACCACTAAGGTCTGATGGGTTAAGCTCTGGTAAACTGGTCTCTGAGTTCCGACGATGCCCTTAGACAAAGTGCTCTCTATTCTCGTTTGGAACATAAAAAGTGGTGAGGCAGAGAATCGAGTAAACTAGAGCACCAGGAAGCACCACAGATGGGAAAATGTCAGCGATGCTATTGGACTAGGCTCAGCACCACAAGTTTTATCCTTACTTGACTTTTAACTGCAACTATGTGACATGCAAATCACAAGCTACTTTCCCAGCAGGGCATCATAAGGTTGAAAATGAGGGTTAGAGGGGGAAGCCAAAGAAAGACCATCTTCCAAAGGGAACTGAGTTTAGGTAACACAGTTGTGGGAGTCTCTACAGAAGGATGTTCAATGAGCTTTAGCTTCCACTTAACTTGGCAAGTTTTGTCTTTTGTGTTAAGTGTAAAATACAATTTCCAAGGAGATGCAGTGTGGGAGGGCCTTTCTGACAGGCACTGAATGTTGGGGAGTTACAATTTTATTATAATTCTTCAATCCGTTCACTAAAATGGCAGCTTGTGCAAACAAAAGCCTGAACTAAATGCAAGGGGATCAAATAGCCTTTCAGCTCGACTTGAGGAGCTAGGAAGCCAACATACCGGATCGTGAGGGAACGTGGGTTTGTCTTGTGATCTGTCCCTCTTTTTGCCAGCACCTGGGGTGTTAAGCCAACATCTGTGGTTTGAATCTCCCATAGGCAAGCAGTGAAGATGCTGGACCAAGCCCGCAGCCTAGAGCCACAAAATGTCCAGCAGAGGAGCCTGCTTCAGCCTGGACCCCATCTCCACCACCAGTCACTACGTCCTCCTCAAAGGATGAGGAGGAAGAAGAAGAAGGAGATAAAATAATGGCAGAACTCCAGGTATGTGCATGAGGTGACTGACTGTGGCTTCCTGCCTTCCTCTTTGGAATTCTCTGGCTACGTCTCTCACAGATTCATTAGCTAACGGGGGCTGGCGCAGAGCTCCATGGACCTGGACCCTGTAAGCGGCATCTTCTGGCCTTGGCCTCCACTTGTCCAAGATGGCGCTGAACTAGGCTCTCAGGGCACCCTTAAGATGTATGTGAGGAATGACCATTTCACAAAACAACTTCAGAAAGTTGAAACGAAAAATCAGTTGCAAGCTCTCCTAGCTGTGGCGTGCAGGATTTCCTTTCCTTTCTTTCAGTTTTAATAGTCTTGCTTCATTTCAAAAGCAGTTAAGATGGGGATTAGAAATCCTGGCCATCACCTTGTCTTGATAAGGACTGATTAAAGCCCACTGCAGTGTTTGTTCCATTCTTTGGATTTAATACTAAGAATGACTGACCTTGAGTCATGTGGCCTCTTGCCCTCCATACCAGGTTCCCACTCAGTGTCAATGTCATCTTCTCAAATATTCTGAAAAGCTGAAGAATTCTGTTTTTCATTTTCCTTGGCCTATTTGAGAAATGATCCTTTATTTATTAGTTTTTTATTTTTTTAACTAATTGCCACAGTTTACTCACAGGATTAAGGGGGTACAGGGGGTATACCCAAAGCTGATCCCACATTCAAATCATGGATGCGAATCTTCCCTAGGTGTACATTCTAAGACCTTGTCTAATCAGGGACATCCATACAATTCCTAGACCAAAGTCTGTTTGTAGAATATTTCATTTGGCCTATGCTTATTGTAGGATTTTTTTGGCCATTAGATGGTCAGATCACAATGTCCATAGGGCTCCAAAACTTGTTGCCTCTTCACCAATATCCAATGTCCAAAGATCTGCATTCTTCATTTGGAGTAGGGAGAACTTTCAAACCATGTCGTCTCCACTTCAGCTGTTCTTTCTGCTTTCCATGGCAATTACCGCCAACCTTGAGCTGCTTGGATTTTACGGGGAAAACCGGGCTGCTGGTTGGGTGTTGTATGCATGAGCCCCGCCTAGCCTCACTAAAACTCGCAGACAGGCCTGGGACATCCCCTCCACCAATGTTGTTCACAAGTTTTTAGAATGGTTGGAGAATTTCATGCATAGGATGAAATTATGAAGTTAGTGACTCATAAAACAGTTGAGAACATGCAGGCATCTGTCACTCAATTATCCAGTGAGGACCCTCTGGCTAATGACACAGGCATGTCAAGGCTGCTTGTTGTGGGGATTGATGCTTGTCCTAAGAGGTGTAGGCAGATTCTGGGGGCATTCGTTGTAGCACGTACCCCTGAATTATGGTGTGAATTGATCATGGCCCAGTTTGGTTCAAATGGATGACAAAGCACTGGATAATTTTCACTCTGTACAAGGTGAACAGTCACTAATAATCAAAGTATAGACTTTTAGGCTTATGAGTAATCCTGCACCAGCTCCCTAAGAGAAGTAATTTACTTATTCCAGCCTCTTAGAGTCTATCACTTGAGAAGATCTCTTTCCATTGCAGTCTAAATATCTTTGATGCTTTCTTCAACAGAAAGCTTTACAAAGGGTGAAGTATCTGGCTTCTTGTTACTTTATTGGTAGTTAGGTCGTAGTGGTGAATGAAGTACTCTAGTCCTAACTTAACCAAACTCAGTTAGCCCTCCTGCTGGGAGACCCAACCTCCTGCATCAGAAAGTCCAACGGCCAGTGGTCGGCTGGTTCCTTTGCCTCCACAGGCTCTGGAGTTAGACGCGCCCCCCTCCCCCCACCAAGGCAGGACCAGGAGCAAATGCAGCCCCCTGAATGTAATTGTGGAATGACTTTCCTGCTCCGTGTCACCAGGCATCAGAAGAAACCACAGGCTCCGAAGTCCAGGGTCTAACAGCCCAACGGAGATGGCTAGTAGCCTTAGTAAGGAGAGCCCTGGGCATCTCCAGGGCCAGCTAGGACTGGGGTGTCTAAGGGACCATGCGGGAGACGGTGTGGTGAGAACTGAGCAAGCACGGTAATGGAAGAGCAGGCCAGAGCAGGTCCCCCCAGGCCTCAGCTCCCATCGTATTTTAGGACCAGTGCTAAAACGTTCACTTGGGGAGGGCGTCGGTTAGTCTTTCTGCCTGCAGAGTTATTTACAAATGACAATATTTGACATGAAGAAAATAGGAGGCAGTTATTTGAGATTATTCATTTAAATAAGTGGTCTTTAATCCTGGCTGCACATGAGAATTACGTGGGGAGTAAAAAAAAGTCCTACAACCCAGAGGTTCTGACTTGATTTTTCTCTGGGTGAGGCCTGGGTAGTAGTTTTTTTGGTTTTTGGTGTTTTTTTGCTGGGAAAGATTCACCCTGAGCTAACATCTATTGCCAATCTTCCTTTTTTCCCCTCCCCAAAGCCCCAGTACCTAGTTGTATATTTTAGTGGTGAGCCCTTCTAGTTCTTCTGTGTGAGTCGCTGCCACAGCATGGCTACTGACAGATGAGTGGTGTGGTTCCGTGCCCGGGAACTGAACCTGGACTGCCCAAGCGGAGCATGCCAAACTTTAACTGCTAGGCCATCAGGCTGGCTCAATGGTATTTTTTTTTTTTTTAACTGGCTGGTATGTAGCCTGGTGGAGAAGCACTGATTTCAAGAAGCTTGGGTCCTTGCATTCTCTGTCTCTCCTACTCTCATAATCATATTGTCACTTCCTTTCTGCCCTCTGGACACAGCTTGTGCTTTCTGTCCATCTCAGAACTGGCCTCCCTCACTCAGTGTTCACATGAGCCGGCTGTGGGTTCCTATGACAATGGTCATTAATTTTGGGACCAAGCTGCTCAGGCAGCTCCTAGGCCACTCAGCATCACCTGGGGGCCAAAGAGTATCACCATATTCTAAATGAGCCTCAGAACACCTCAGAGCACAGGAGTACCTGTTACTATTGCAGAAGTGTTGGTAAGGATCTCTCTTATTTTAAGGTTTAAAGGTTTGCAAGATCTTGTGCCCTTTTTTCTATAATCTCAATGAAGCTGGCCAAAAAACATAATCAAGAAAAAAGAAAGGGAAGATAGCCTCTTGTTTTGTTTTAATTCATTTACATATTCAACATTTTTGAAAGGTCAAAGCAAGAAGGCCTACTAAGTGCCAATCAGGTTCACAGTGGATAGGAAGAAAGGGTGTTCTTTTCAAGGGCTCTGTCCGTTTTTTTCTTGGCGCGGCCCAGAAGCAAGGAAGTCTTTGCCCTCTGCGCAGTTCCCAGCTTTGCCAGTAGGGGGCCAAATGGGGAGCTGGCTTTGAAGACGCTGCCTCCCCGGCCCCAGTGGGACCTGCATGCAAGATCAAGCTGGGGTCTCCAGGCCTCTGGATTCCCCACCTGTTCCCTCCTTCCTCCTCTCTGCACTTGGATTCCTGTTAACCTCAGTATTTTAATTCCTTAGGCATTCCAGAAGTGTTCCTTTATGGATGTAAATTCAAACAGTCATGCTGAACAGTCCCGGGCTGACAGTCACGTTAAAGACACTAGGCCGGGGGCCACAGTCTCACCCAAGGAGAAGAAGGTAACGTGGCAATTACTCACCTGCCACACAGTCGGACGGTCCTTCTTTCCTTGCTCTGACACTAACACCACTCCTGCACTTGATTTTCTGTGCCCTATCGGTTTTTTTCTCTCACTTTTTTTTTGTTGTTTTTTTTAAACCAATGGAGGAGTTTTAGGTTTAGATCAGAGATCCCTGGCTCAGATTTCCAGAGCAATCGCTGTGTTCCTGTGCACAGCATACAAGAGTATATGCAGAATTGTGGCATTATCTTCCCAAACTAAAGAGTATACACTTTTCGAGATTTTCTGGAACAACTCTAGACAAAAATAGAAACATCAACCAAGCATGTAGCACTTTTCCCAATTTTTAACATGTCTTCTGGACCAAAAAGGTCTACATTAAAAGTAGGTAAGAGCCTTTGATTCCAGGAAATATGAAAGCCTTTGATTCCAGGCAGAGCCGTCTACCTTCCACCATTCACAGGTGTGGCCCCATGGAAACACACACATATGTATTTGCACACATGTTTAAGCATGCCACACAGAATTTTTGTTAAGTATTACAAATTCTCAAAGTCCACCTTCCAAGACAGTAAGTTCAATATCGTCTTAGCGCTAATATACTTCATGGCATTCTAATGGCTTCAAAACACATGTCCAGGCTCAGAAACAAAGTTTGCCGTCATTACATAAGTACTCAAGGCAAAGGACATTAGCCTGAATGTTTGAACTTCAACTTTTTAAGGTAGATCTAGAGCTTTTACGATTTTTGGATATAGAGCCATCTTAGATGACTGAAGCCTCTGTCTAAATTTCAGGATAAAAATCTTATCATGATGTTTTTCACCAGGACTTTATATTTCAGAATTCAAAGGTTCTAGCTTCCTTTAAATAAAAATCAAACAAATCCGCCATAATGTAGCCCAATAGCTACTCCGAGTGGTACCTCAGTCCATGTATAAGTAAGCTCAGTGATGGAGATTCAGGATCACAAAATCGGAGGGCTATTCTCACACAACATTTCAAAAGATGCAATCTTGGGACTTAGAGCTCCCAGTCCTGAGGCCCTGCCGAGGAGACCAACCTGGTCCTCCCTGGCTCACAGCCATCACAGAGCCCTTGTGTAAACTACGTCTGACGTAATGTGTCATGTAACTGACAAATGAAACTGTTAACGCGGCAGTGGGGGATCTCTCTATGCACCAAGGAGATTATGAGATTATTGTCGATAAATCTTTCTCATGAAGAAAACCTCCTATTAATTTGAATTGAACCTATGACATCACATTAAAAATATATTGCTTTTTCAGTCTGTGGAATGTCCTTATGTGGCCTCATTTAAGTCCATTCATGGAAGGCCCAGGCATATCCTGAGTTACATGGCATACTCGGGCCATTGTGACTGTTTCTGTCTAAAACACTGGGAAGTGGGAACTTCTCAAAGATCTCCCTGGAGATAATCATTGTCTCATTGTGGAATTTTGCTAATTGGCTAAAAAGTTGCCCATGAGATTCCTTGCCCTGTAATTAGAAACCCATATCCCGTCAATCTCATTGATCTCAATCAAAGGTCCATCAGATAATAAGTGGGTCTGTACTGAGTGTCCAACACTGGGTTTAGTCACAGGTGCTTATTGTGGATAATTATTCCCAGTAGATCGATCTACTTCATAATAAGCATGAGTATCAGACTTGTTCCCAAGTTTTTGTCATTATTAACCTCTTCCTGGGCTATTCATCTACTCTTCTATAAATCAAATGTTTCTTCAAATTTTTCTCCTATCATCATGAAACACTAGCCAAGTACTTCACTTTTATGCAATTTTCCTGTAACTGTGTCTCTCCTTTTGGTCTATTACCCATGTGCATATTGAGCCTACTTCACCAGTTGTCTGAACAGTACAGATCTCGGGGCCTATAAACAGATATTAATGAGGCTAATTTCCTTTAATGCAGAGTCTTGACTATCTAAGATATCTTTGTGAGATTACATGACGATCATGACCGAGTTACCCTGGATAGCATTAATGCACTTGCTTTGATACATTCATTCTTTTTTCTGGCCCAGTGATAAAAATGACAGGTCATGTAAAACCTAACCTTGACATCTTTATCCTCCTGACTTCCCATTGGAGTATTTCCGCTACTAGATCTGTTTTGAAATACATGTATCACCTGATGGCATTTGAAATATCTAACGATGGGCGTGCCATGGGCCCTGACCAATCAGAACAGATGCCAGGCCTGATCCCCAGTACATGGAGCCACCAGAACATCAGTGTGCAGCCTCTTCTTTAGGTTACCTGCCAATTCCTTCTTTGATTCAAGGGTAAATTCTCGCTCAGGTCCTAACATGCTAACTTCATGTTTGGAGTTGAAACCTTAGGCCAAAACCTCATTTATTTTTCTTCTTGAAACCTTTTACCTGATGTATGAGTTGTTTGATAATCTAAATTTAAAATCCCAGAAAAGAAATCATGCTGTTCAACCGCAGGCGCTGAATTGTTGCACTGGTTCGGGAGCCTCCTGGGGTTAACAGGAGGTGTTTGGTGTTTACTGTACCTTGTATCCTGTGCGATATTTCCATGTGATTAATACTGACTTTGTCGTTTGTGTGTGTTTCCTCGAATGTGTATGAACGTTCTTTCCCTTTTTCACCAGGGCACTAGGATCACTCTGGGTTGACTTTGGCAGAGTCTGGGTTATTGTGCTTTGTTATGTTGTCATTGCTTTAACCGAACAGCCTTCTTGGGATTATGTCCCATCCGGCTATAATCACCTCTTCCTCTTGGGCTTCTGCAGCCAGAAGAAAGGTCAGCAGGGCCTTGGAAGTGACAAGGCATGGCTAGTGTTAGTTTGTGGCAGGGCCCGAGGCTATGGACCCCCATACTGGAAAAGGCCATGCTCCCTGGTGAAGCCCTCTCCATGCCTGGTCGTCATTGCTGAGGTCTCACACTCTGAATCTGGGTGAAGGCCTCAGAAATGTATCTTCGCTCTGCATCAGGGAATATAGAGAAGGAAAGCTGAATCATGATGCGATGGTCACCGCTGTAGCCTCAAAGATCTGTTCTGTAAATGTTTAGATGATATTTTGGCAGCAGTATCATTCTGACTTTAGATTTGATCATCTTGGCTATGATTAGTTGGAAGGTTATTTTGACATTTTACTTGGCAAGTGCAAGTACAAACTGCCAGTATGTTTTTAATCTGTCATTTGACCAGAGAAACATAATGTTTTTTTCATCTCAAAGTACCACACCCAACCCATGCAGAGGCCTGATAGGGCTATTCCCATAAAAGAAGCAAAGACAGGACTGAAATAACTAGCTGGAAGGGACATGAAAAATCTCCTGGTCTAGTTCCTCGGTTTATAAATGAGAAAACTGAGACCCAGAGAAGTGAAATGATTTGCCCAAGGTAACACAGTTAAGTGGCAGGTCTGGATTAGAGTCAGAATCTTCTGCCTGCTGAGACAGTGTGCTCCCTACAAGGCCACACCACTCTTCTGGTTTTAGATTCTGCTAAGCTCCCAAGGAGATGAGGAAAAGAGGACGCATTGATACAGAATCAGTCCCTTTATTCTCCTAACTGCTCCCCCTACAAAATTTGAAATACTTGAAATATTTTGCTAATTGAGATTTTCATCTTGTGCAAACACAGGGCATTTTTGGAAGTTGGAGAACAAAGCAGCCCAAGGTAAACAGAGCTTAGGCTTTGGACTGGTGTGTAACAAATGTGCTTGGCCCGCATGTTTTGGAAGTGTAATTAAAGAAACAATGTAGTTATAGTCCACTTTGGGGGGGGTGTGGTTTTGTGGAGTAACATGTCCTACACTATTCTACCAGAATTTGGAATTTTTCCATGAAGACGTACGGAAATCTGATGTTGAATATGAAAATGGCCCCCAAATGGAATTGCGAAAGGTGAGTTCACCAGATCAGTGTTCCAAATGATACCACGCAGATTAATTACCTTCCTTTGCAGATCCATTTCTGATTAATGTGTGTGGTTTCCCTCCTCCACTCTCCCTCTCAGGTTACGACAGGGGCTCTAACACCTAGTGACCATCCTAAGTGGGAAAGAGGAGTGGAGAATAGTATTTCTGAGGCATCAAGAACATCCGAATATAAAACCGACATCTTAATGAAGGAAAATTCCATATCTAATAAGAGTTTACTTAGAGACAGTAGAAACTACTCCCAGAAAAGTATGTCTAAGGTCAATTCCAGTTTCCCTGGCATTAGTTCATCAGAAGGTGAACTAAACAAAGGGCCTAAAGTCTCGGGACCGCAGCCCCCTGTATCTGACACTGAGATTCAGAAGATGAATTATGGAAAGACAAAGGAGATGACTCAACAAGGACAGGAAAACACAGATAAATGTCACCTTCCGTCTCCCGCTAGATCAACTGAACTGAGTATCCGTGACGTCAAAACTCAAGATCAAGAGGTTCCCATGACAGAGTTTGGCCAAGTTGTTCTAAGACCCAAGGGGGCTAGGCATGCTAATGTGAACCCTAATGAGGACGGAGCATCAATGCCAAGTTCTCCCACTGATGAAAATGCAACCACTGACAACATTGCTTTCATGATCACCAAAACCGAGGTCCAGGTCCTGTCCAGCGGAGAGGTCCGAGATATAGTGAGCCAAAAGGGAGAAGATGTACAGACAGTTAACATTGATGCCAAAAAAGAGACGGCTTCTCAACAAGAAGGAAGTGAAAATGAAGAGCCTGTCGTGTGCCTGGACAAGAAACCAGTGATCATCATTTTTGACGAACCCATGGACATCCGATCCGCATATAAGAGACTTTCAACCATATTTGAGGAATGCGATGAGGAATTAGAGAGGATGATGACAGAGGAAAAGATAGAGGAGGAGGAAGAGGAGGAAACTGGAGGAGACCCTCTAGCCCAGAATAACACTTCCCAAAAGTTTCAGAAGAAGGTTGCCACTGGCAGCCTCGGATCAGGACAGCAGGCTGAGAGCAGCTTACAGCCACGCTTCCTTTCAGCAGAGACCAAAATACCAGGAGGACAGGAAATGAATGGTCCTGAGCCGATCAAGTTCACTCAAACAGATTCTCCAAGTTCAGAAAGCAAGTGTGACGTGACCGATGACCAATTTGAAAGCCCCAAGAAAAAGTTTAAATTCAAGTTCCCTAAAAAGCAACTCGCCGCTCTCACTCAGGCAATTCGCACAGGAACCAAAACGGGGAAGAAGACCCTGCAGGTGGTGGTCTACGAGGAGGAGGAAGAGGACGGCGCTGTGAAGCAGCACAAAGAAGCCAAGCGATTCGAAATTACTAGATCTCAACCCGAAGACGCGCCGAGAAATATGCTCAGGAGACAAGAGCAGCCCAGTCTAGACAGCACCTCTCCCATCTCAAGAACGGATGAAATTAGAAAAAATACCTACAGAACGTTGGACAGCCTGGAGCAGACCATCAAACAGCTTGAAAACACGATCAGTGAAATGAGTCCCAAAGCCCTAGGTGACACCTCATGTTCTTCCAACAGAGATGCTTTTGCAAGCTCATCCCACATAGCCCAAGAGGCCTCTCCCCGAGCCTTGCTAGTTCTGGATGAAGCTCCCTCTGCCCTAGAGCCCCCCTCGTCCATACCTTCAGCTTCACGTAAGGTATCTTGGTCTGATGGAAAATGAAAAGACCCAGCTGCTTTCTTAAATCTGCCATAATCACCATTAGCAACAGGTGTCTTGTGATTGACTCGCTTCCTTTCAGGTGGCTAGTTTTTTTTTTGTCTGTTCGCCATGATCCCTTTCTCTCACACTTTCTCCCTCACCTTCAAAACAACGACTAGGTGTCTAACAGCTAATTGATTCTGTTTTTTTACCTCTGTTGCTGATCGGTGTTGGGTAAATGCAAGGACGCTGGGTCAGCCGTTTGCTGTTGAAATGGTTGCTTGGATACTCACATTAAAATCCGTTTGATCAGTAGTGGAGCAGTTTATTCTGTTTGATTCTTCGGATTAACCCCAGTGGTGTCTCCTGATGTCCGTCTCCTAGATTCTGTCCTGCATGTAGGGCTGTGGCTTCTCACGTTGAGCTTCTCTGCACACAGTGGGGCAGCCTGGGTGATAATCTACTCATGAGCTTCTCCTTCTCTTCCCCCTCTCGCTGCTCTTCCCCACAGGGCTCCAGTGGGACCCCGCAGACGAGCAGGATGCCAGTCCCCATGAGTTCCAAGAATAGACCCGGAAGCCTGGACAAACCCGGCAAGCAGTCCAAATTGCAGGATCCCCGCCAATATCGTCAGGTAGTTTTACCTTAAACCCAATTTTGGATGGACACTATTGCAGTTAAGAAGCAAGTCACTGACTTAGTTTATACCAAATATTGTGTTTTCTTTGTAAGATATGGTTTACGTAGACATCCTGGATCTGGGGGCATGAAGAAAGTCTAAAAACCTGTGTTGAACTTTTCACCACGCTTTTGCATGCTTGCAGTAAAACATCCTTTACTTTGTGACTCCAAAGTTTAACTGTTAACACACGGTGCCACACCCATTGGCTTCTCTCTGGTAAACGTAGTGGTTCTTCAGAACACCTTGGGAAACTGAGACAGACAAACCTGGTGTTGAACTGCCCTGAAAGTCACCAGTACTAACGTATATGTTGACTGCATTGCATTAGAGGCACATTAACTGTCCATCACGATGCCCCACCCCCACCCCAATAATAACCCAGACGCATGGCCGACCTAGCACCGGAAACGGTAGTGGGACGATGGGCCTGTTCTCACAAACGCTGTTCTTCCTTTATTCCTGTTCTGTACGTCCTCTGCTCTGTGCTTTGGGGTTTCTACCAGGTCCAGTACAGCACAGCAAGACTTAGCTCAGGCCTTGAACTGGTTTGGTTTGGTTTGGTTTCTTTTATTTAATTATTCTCAGAAGGGCTGTGTTGCCAGACCCTGTGGGTTGATCATGTGACCAGCTTTCTGACAAACTGTCTCCTGCCGTCTTTATTTGCAGGCTAATGGAAGTGCTAAGAAAGCTGGTGGGGACTGTAAGCCTACTTTCCCCTCCTTACCTGCTTCTAAGATTCCAGCCCTTTCTCCCAGCTCTGGGAAAAGCAGTTCTCTGCCCCCTTCTAGTGGTGACAGCTCTAACCTCCCTAACCCTCCTGCTACTAAACCATCGGTTCCTTCTAACCCTCTCAGCCCCCAAACAGGACGACCTGCTCCCTCTGCCTCCCTCATCCCCTCTGTCTCTAATGGCTCCTTAAAGTTTCAGAGCCCCACTCATACAGGTAAAGGTCACCATCTTTCATTCTCACTGCAGACTCAAAATGGCCGAGCCGCCCCTTCCTCCTCCTCCGCCCCCCCCTCCCCCGCCTCCCCCACCTCACTGAATCAAGGTGCCAAGAGCATCAGGACCATCCATACTCCTAGCCTCACCAGCTACAAGGCACAGAATGGAAGTTCAAGCAAAGCCACCCCATCCACAGCAAAGGAAACCTCTTAAAGGCCAATTCTATTAGGCACAAGTTGGAGTTACATTTAAAAAAGAATTTTTTTTAACAGTCTTCAACAACTGTTTTCACAAGAGAATGTAACATATTGCTGTACTGTTTGAGGCTTTAATGCTAAGTATGTGCTAAATCCTGGATTAATAGATTTCAGTACCGCTTGTTTGTTTCTTTACTTTGTTGCTGTTGTAATAACATAGTGTTTACAGTCTATATTCAATACCTGTTAAATGAAGTAAGCATGTGTTACGAAGAGAGTGTGGCAGGAAAGAATGCGTGTGTGAGACAGGAAGAAAATGTATTAAGCATGTAAAACATGTATGATTCCAGAATTTTAGTATGTTTTGTATAAAAATATTTTTCATTACGGAGACTCGAAGTGAACAGAGAAATACACAAGTGTGACTATACAAATTGTAAAACAGATACTATAATATTTCCTTTTATTTTAGTGTTATTTAGCTTTATTACAGATTTCTATTTTTGTCAAAAACTTCATGGTTCCTTTCAAGATCTTTTTTGCCAAAACATTTTGATACTATAGCATTGTACATTTGAAAGTAGTATGCTAGAGAATAAGCCAATGAACTTCTATACAGGCCAACCAGAGGCGTATGTAGAAGGCAATTTGACAAACCTATTGCACTGCCATGAAAATGATGTATAATAATTTGCCAGCCCAAGCAAGATAGTTTTCTTTGTTTTTCTTTCTTTCTTCGTTGTTTAACATATTAGGATTCTCTAGTTGTTTTCCTTGCAGTATCTAACCCCTTCCTTTTTTTTCTGAGACCTGGTACCCACACTATGGCATTGTGGATTTTAAAATGTACACTTCTGTACGGTTCTGTAAACTGATCAACTTTTGTAAATATATAAATAGACATAAAAATACTGTATGTGACAGCACATAGAGTAGTTTTCCCACACCAAAGTTAATTTTTATGCATGCTTTAAAAATATATATTGGGATGGGCAGAAATGGGACTCTCCATACATTTTTAAAAAGCAACAAGTTTGCACAGCTAGAGTGTTTTGTAAATAAATGTATTTGTATAACACAGTCATGTAATATACAGAACTATAAGCAGAGACTTTGCAAAACTAAATAAAGGGCTGCATGCTTATTATTTTTTGTATCTTGTGACTATAACTACTTGCTCGTCAAAGAACAAACGTAACTATTACTAAGTGAAATGGTTTAGGCTTTGAGGGCATTATAAGGAACATGCAACCGGCCACAGACTGGTTTTCTGAAAGCGCTGGGGTGACTGATGATGAGTTCCAGAGAAATTCATTGCAATGTGATGCTTTCCCGTGTAACCTGCTGACTCTTCTCTGTGGCTTATCAAGGTGTAGAAAGCAAACCTGGATACAGTTTCCACCCTCCTGTCCCAGAAGGGCTCTCAATACTTTCTCTTTCTTTTTTTAATCTCCAGTAGAAGTAAAGCAGAAATAAAATGCTTCTAACACTAGGATTTTTTTTTTTGAGTTCTCAATTTTAAAAAATATTATTTGTCTTGAGAGACATGCTAGCTAACGTTACACTACATATATATTCCTTTAAAAAATAGGGAGAAAACTTAGTGAAAATAATACCAAGATTATGAAATGACAACTACAAGAACAATCTCAGGAACCCACTTTTCATTATTTTTTGGCCTCCAAAATGCTTAACTTGGTGGTTTGATGTAAAGTACAAATATTGTTATTACTTTCGTCCCTGGTTGCCAGCTTAGTGTTCACAAGCTGTGGGCTTCCTGAGCTGGGACGCCTTCACCGGAAATATTTTATTACATCTCTACTCACTATATCAATTGTAGTCACGTGTTTCAGCCACTCGGGAAAGTCATTGTCTTATACTTTTTAGGTACAAAAGGTTCCGACATTTCAATCATGTCCCCTAATCCCCTCAATAACTACGTCATGGTAAAATGTAAAGTAGTAGCTGGGTGATTCATGCCAGTTTACTTGCTCCTGTGGGTGGACAAGCTGAGAATTCTTTGTAAGGTTCTAAACAATAGATTGTGGCTCCTGCTTTCAGTGTAACTTCAGACTCCCAGAGCTCTGGCAGGATATACAGGTGATGGTCAATTTCAGCCAATGTGATGAAGGACAGAGCCAGATCCATCCAATGGCCACCAGGTAAGGGGAAAACTCAGCATGGACCCAAGCATTATCCTGCCTGAGACCCAGCAAAGTACCACCTGCCACTTCAGGAAATTGAAGAGGAAACTACCATAATTGGAGAAACTGAATCCAGGTGTACACAGGCTGCCTATGACAACACTTAACACAAAGGCATCTCAGTTCCTTTAACACCTAAAGTGGGTGAGGGGCCGGCCTGGTGGTGCAGCGGTTAAGTGCGCGTGTTCCACTTTGGCGGCCCGGGGTTCGCCAGTTAGGATCCCAAGTGCGGACGTGGCACCACTTGGCATGCCATATATATACATATAAAGTAGAGGAAGATGGGATGGGCATGGATGTTAGCTCCGGGGAAGTCTTCCTCAGCAAAAGGTGGAGGATTGGCAGCAGTTAGCTCAGGGCTAATCTTCCTCAAAAAAAAAAATAAAGTGGGTGATGTGAGGCAGGATGAGCTGCTGGATTTTCAGATTTTGGTAAACTACCATTTTCTTTTAAGCTCATCATTCAATTAACAGATTGTCGCATCTGAAAAAGATTCTTAGAAATAAACCATTGGAGCTTCTCAGATTCATTCAACAAACCATCAATCAATGTCGCTTGCTGGTTGTGCAGCCTTGGGCATGGCTCAGTTTCCTCATCTATTAATGGAGACTAATAATGGAACCTACCTCACAGGATTGATGGGAGGAGTAAATGTGATGTACAAAAAATCCTTAAGACAGAGCCTGACAGATATTGCACCCTCAATAAAGCTTTGTTAGGATTGTTGTCTTTATCACTGCTGCAATGATAACACAGTTCCTGCCCTTCAAAGGTTTTCGGGCTATTTGGGGAGGGGGTGGCATCACCACCAGCAGGCAGGAAAGAAAGCCAAGTCTAACAGTAGCAGCAGGAGTCCCGAGGAGAGGTCATTTCATGGAGCTGATGGCATTGGGCCCTCGCAGGTACAACACAGAACTTAATAGTTTACAGCATTCAAAAGGCTGCTTTTCTTTTAATGCTGCTTGTGACCAGAATTGTTTCCAAAGTAAAAAATAGTTGCACAAACTTGGAGTAAAGCCGATGCCCTGGAATGACGGCTACAGAAGAGTGGTCCTTTTGTTTGGCTGCATTTTCAGGCTTGGGAGAAGGTGCTCCCAAACCACCCCATCCCTGAGCTGAGCGCCAGGGGCAAACCCATGAGGAAAAGTGGACTCACCCATGGCGCCGGGGCCAAGAGCAGGTTTGGCCATGCCCCTCCGCAGCCAGATTCATGGCAAACCCAGGCAGCTTCCGGACTGCCCGCCCTGTAATTCAAACTGACTTCCTCCCTTCTCCATGGCTCTGTAAATGCAAAGGCATTTGAGACCCACAGGAAGCTTTCATGGGGGGAGTAGAGGAATGAAGACTGCTTCAAGCAAAAATTCAAGAGGTCATTTTGCAAAAGTAACCAGGTGACATTATCCAGGAAAACACACCAGCCCCCACATGCAGCCCTGCACTCTCTGATCTATGCTCCCGAGCAGATAATGTCCAAAAGAAGTAAAGTGATCACAAGAGCACTTTTGAGGAGAGAATGCCAGAGCCTGCCAGGGCTCATGGGAATCTAGAGACGAAAGCTCACCCTGATGACCCGGAGCCAGGAAGGTCAAGTTATGCTCAACACACTCCACCAAGAAGGCAGGGGAGCTTACAGTGCATATCTCGGATTTATAGAAAATGCTTAATTTGTTTAATGGCCTAGCATTTCGGGGGAGTCCTTAATCCCCGTGTCTGTGAACACATCCACAATAGCCGCCATCTGTTGCCCATTATGGGCCAGATATAATGCTAAAGCGTTTTGCACATAGTGCCTTTTAATCCTCACAAAACCCTGAGAGAAAGTTACTGTCATTATCCCTCCCCATAGCACTGTAGAAAAAACTGCAGGACGCACGGCTGGGATGAGGCCGAGGTGCAGGCCCTTGACTGCTCCGCTCTCCGTGGGGGCCCCTCTGGTGGTCTCTTTGAAAGAAGAAGTTAACAGGCGGTTTTTCATTCCTGGACCAAACGAATTAGCATCATTCAAAAAATCGTCCAGTTAGGGATTATTAGATTGCAAATTTTGGCTGCCTCACCTTCAAAAGATGAGTAGGTAGAGAGGCGCTCTGCTCAGGGGGCGAATATTCTCATCCAACGTCACTTGGAAGGCAGGTGAAGCTGGGTCGATACCTGAGATCGCGGACTCCTTTTTTCCTAAGCACCAAGAGGGCAAACCCGGAAGGCTTGCGGCAAGGACCACAGGGAAATCGGTCTACCTGCCAGGAAGGCCCCGCCCTGCAGGGTCAAGCCCCGCCCCCCAGCCCCCGCCCACACCACGCCCCGAGCTATCAGGCTCCACCCCCAACCCCTCCAGCCCAGCCTCTCACCCGGCCTGCAATCCTCCAGGTACCGGGTTGAACTCCACCTTCTCTGGTCCCGGGGTTAAGTGGTTCCCAAGCGTCCTCTAAAAGGTGTTTTCGGGGTTTTGCTTCCCGAGGTTTCCCAGGCACCGACTTGTGAGTGGGCAGTTCAGCCCCTCAGAGACAGCCTTTGAAATGCGAGTGCAAAGGTCTCAGTCCTATTGGATCCCTCGCTCCCGTTTAAAGTTCAAACGTTTTGTACGAGATAAAATTATTGATGATATATCCTACCTACTCACTTAGTTTCAAAAACAAAACAAGACAGACTATAATGCGCTGACGGTAAGCTGACGAAGCCGTCACATGCCAGCACCGATCAGCAGAAGGCAGCGACGAATGCACACGCTGCATCGGAGGCTCGAACCCCAGGAACGGCTTTGCTGATGTGACTTTTCCCAAATAGTGAAAGACTAAAGCTTCAAACAAAGCAAAATACGATTCTCCTTCAATTTACACGTTCTTGGACATTTTACTGCATATTTTAAGAATGCAAAAAAACTTGTTTATATGTAAGACAGAGCTGGCCTCCAGGCTCGGATCACTACTTATGTAAACGTCCAGTGGGACACGACCAGCTCCTGCTGAAGGGGACAGTTCTTCCTCGGCAGCTCATTGTAGCACACCCAGCATCCCTGGCCCACACCCACTAAATGCCAGTTTTGCCTCCATCATTGTGACAACTAAAAAACTCTCCAGAAGTACCTACAATGGCTTCTTATGGGCAGTACTGCTGTGGTCGAGAACCACTGGCCTAGAATAATAAAGACAGACCTCACTGTTGACAAAGTCAGGGCAAATCCCAAGGGCATAGGGACTATCCAGCCTAGTGACTCCTTCTTCATAAGATAGCAGCACTTAGGGGACACATGTAGAGCATGAGGCTACCTGCGTGTCCTTCTGCCCTTCTGGAACTTCTCACCATGCCTCTGCCCCTATTAGCATTTATGCTCTCTTCATTCATGCCTGGAAGAGCAAGCGATTAACAAAAGAAGAAACCCAGCCTCTTAAGCCGTTGTGAGGAGGAGAGGGCCAGGAACTCTGGGGAAGGTGGGTGGGAATGGATTTCTCTTTCCTAGGTGCTGAACCTCTGGGTTTAGCAAAGGGCTGAATCATTTAGGATCAGACAGCATGCCACAGACATCCCATGACCTAACGTGAAAAGATGGGACACAGGGTGATGGCGAGTGGGATACACCCCAGGAGCGGAAGAACCCAAGAATGCCCCATCTTGCATTTGGGATAGCCTTGGCTTGGGTTCCAGGTTCTCAAACTTGGCTGCACCCTGGGATCACACGGGAAGCTTAAAAAATGCTGAGGCCTGGCTCCCACCCGCAGAGATTCTAAATCAGAGGCTCAGAGGGGCTGCCTTTGGAGGGGATTGTCAGATCTTTCCAGGTGATTCTAATGGGAAGCGGGGGTCTGACAACCACAGTCTTGCATGAGGAAAGCAGCAGACCCAGGATTAACAAGCAGATGCTGTTTCTTAAAAGGTGACTACTACCACGTGGCAGCAGATTCACACTTGAAAAGTATGGCTCAGCCACCGCCTTTGATTTTGTTTCCAACTTTGCAAA